TAATTTTTCGACATATGGGTAAATAATGCTCTAAACAACTTTTGGTCTTAACCAGACGATGTTATTTATTATTATTATTATTACTATTATTATATTGTAAGATTTTATCTACGACCATCAGACCTACTGTAACCCTACCATAAATTCGGACTTGTAGTTTTTCCCAAATCAAAATAAATATTAATAAATAAAGAATAAATTGAATATTGAACGCTAGAGCAAGAGGTTTAAATTACTGCCCGCACTCGTTCCGAGTACTGTGATTTATATCCTACATAAGTACTTCTTTCGCTTATACATTAGTCTGGACAACTCTCAGGTTTTGTGGTTAAGGTATAATCTGTCTATCACACCCTAAAATTCATTAGAGTAAGATTCCGTGTTTCGTTCGGCAGAATTTAAAAAATAAAATAAATATGTGCCTGTCAAGTTTCAATCTTTTAATTATTAAAGAAATATCATTTAATTCCTTCTAATGATTCTTTATTTTTTTTTAACTATTGATATAATCTTTACGTTGATTCAGTTTCATAGTTTATTTTAGAGATTTTAATTGTGATAACCATGATATATTATCGCAGTAAAGTTTTTTCTGTTATTCTTCTTCGCCCCAAGAATTTTCCTCTTTTCAAAATTGTTTTAAATTGAAAGTCGTTAAAGCGATGGCGAGTATTATTGCCTTAATATTCTCTGGTTCTTCTTTTCTTTCCGAATAGGTGTGCAGAAATAACTCCTCTCAAACACAAACTATTTGTTATATTAACAGAGAAATCAGGTCAATATTTCAATGTGTTTTCTCTCTCCAGAAATGAAGAAGTGGCCAATAGAACTCATTTTGTAGAAATATTCGATATGTACTCAATGTATGCTCTTAACTCTGCGAACGTTGTTGTCTTGCACATGGACCAATGATTTCACACTATTTATTAGATGTTGCCTTTATTATATGGTGCCTGTACCAGGTTAACTAATGAATACATTGACACTTCAATAAAAAATGTACTCGTAGTACATTTTAATACAAGCTTTAATGTTGAGAAAACGTCAGTGAGTCACAGAACAGCCACTTGACTGTCACTAAAATAGGTATTCATTTAGAAAATTACTAAAAATATTTAAAGTTTATACTTAGTAATAAGAATATCTAATAGTTCTATCTTCAATACAATTAGTTAATTTAAATTTATTTTATTAGTTTATTACCATAAATAATTTTGTCTTTTAGCTCCATTGTAGCGTATTAATAAGCTCCCTTCTAAGCCATACAAAATGGAGTGTAAAATTGCGTTAAATGAGACGATTTTCATCTTGCAGCTTAAACTGTGCGCACACAGTGCAGCATCACTTGAAGGCTCCTGGTACGCCTTAACCATTTTTCAACTCATTTCATTGTTTTCTGAGAAAATTATTGCTGGAACAAAGATGTCTTTTATTGTTAGTTTTGTTTGGAAACTGCCACAAAAGCTTTTCTTGTAATCGGCTTAAATGTGTTGTGATGTTGATTTTTGGTATTAAGTTTGCTAAAATTAAAAATCATAATTTTTTTTCCATATAACAATTCAAAATTTATATTATTATACGTATATTGATATTCTGTAAATTTAATGTTTGTTAAAATGCAAAACAATTTTTACAGAATTCGTTTTAATATACAAATATTCTAAATATTTACAAAATGTATTTTAGTTAAAAAATTAAAATGATTTATTCATTACAAATACTATAAGTCTTATATGCACACATATAAAAACATCAAAAATTAATCAAATAATAAAAGTTTCTTTACAACTATTCTTCTACAAAATATACTTAGATTAATAAACTAATTTCATTATACTAATTCTCTAATATATATACATTTTACGCTAAATTTATATATTCTTAAAATAATCACCACCAGTAAGTCTAAAAAATTAAATGCGATATTAATCAGCCATTTCTCAAAATTTAGAAAACTTACATTCGAATAATGCCATTTTTACAAGTCTTTAGACAAATTAAATTTAATTTAAATAACATGTGTATTAGGGAAAATAATTATTCGTTATAGTTATAGTTTGATTGCCAAATAAAAATCATCTTTATTTTCGTCACTCGGGCTAAAAGCGTTTCCAATATAAAAGAAAAACTATTTTTAAATAGAAAAATATATATCTCAGCTATGTGTTCTATTATTTGGCATTGAATCCGAAAAAAATATTTGCAATAAAACCAAAAGAAAAAAAAAACAAGCAATTATATAAATAAGAATTTATCCAATTTATATGCAGAGTATTTAATATGCTTAAATAATATTTATAAATTCGCAAAAACATTACTACTAGAATTTATTCATACTTAAAAAATAAATACACTTTTTAGAAATAATTAAATTTTATTAAACAATTTAAACATTTCAAGCATTTCAAGCGAAAAACTATTGACCTAAATCAGCAAGAGTTTTGGAATTTTTTTTTATGAAAAATTAAATTTAATTAGCAAAATTAAAAAATCAAAATAAAAATAAAGATGTAGATGAAATTAAACAAGCACAGGTGAAACTTATTTCTGAATGTTCAAGGTTGCCAGAGTTTTTGAAAATCTATTGAAATTTAATTTAAAAATTATTATATGAAATTAAAATAAATTAATATAACAAAACAGTTTCCAAGGAAATATAAATAATGATTGTATATAATACATGATACTTATCAAATAACAGAGATAAAAATGTAATTCGAATTAAAAAAAAGTAATTATTTTTAAAATTAATTTAAAAACAACAGATAAATTTATGTTTAATAAAATTTTTTATTCTTCAAAACAAACCAATATCATGAAACCGATTTTAATGCTCGAAATTGAAATAAATTAAACTAAATATTTTCAGAAAGAATCCACAGTACAATCATATACTAACGTATCATAAACTAAAGTTTATGAACCTTATTTAGTGAAAAATATTATATTGAAATGTTCATTTTTTTTATTGATAGTAATAACGTTATATATTTTACTTCATAAGTGGAGTAGTAAAGAATAAATTTCTTTAAAAATAGTAATAAATAATCTATTACCGAACGATATAAAAAAATTATTCAAAATCGGTAAATAAATCTAAATAATATATGTGAAGAATAATTTGGAGTTTAAACATTAAGAAAAATCTCTTAACTTTTAAAATAATAAAATTAATGCATAAAACTTAAAATACTTTTTTGGTAAATATACATATAAAAAATTATGTGTAATACATGCTACTTATCAAATAAAGGAGTTAAAAATGCAAACACATAATTGGAAATCCAAAAAAAATAAATATTTTTAAAATTAAAATTAATTTAAATATTAAATTATTCAAAAATTAATAATACATATATCAATAAATAAGAAAACAATTAGCATTAAGTGTTTTACATAATAAATACATAATTTGTTAGGACCATGTTAAGCAGACAATCTGTGGCAGCAAATTTCATTAGGTAATTCCGAAAGGTCTTATATTATATCTGTAATAAGTCATTGTAAGGCGTAACTTTCGATTTGGAGGTGAAATAGGCTGAGCTCGTCAATTTTTTTAAAATGACAGAGATCTGACATAAAACGATTCTGATTGCTATTGTCTTTTGATCACTAATTATATCAAAAAAAAAATCTCTATGTCTCTGATATATAACTTCGGCAAAAGGTATGATAGACTCACTTTTTTTTAAAAAGCCCGAAACGTTCAACTTTAAAATGTTATGAACCTTCAATTTCGTATGTTATAAAAATAATTATCAAAAGGAAATTTTTTTTTTTCGAAAAATTGAAGATGATATTTTTGTTATTTGGTTAATTTGTTAAGAAATATATATCTTGGACTTTTAATTTTAGCATTAAATGAATTGATCGCCAAGATAATGTATATTTAAATATTAATTTTTTTTGTCGAATGTGACACGTCTTATGGCGAAAAGCAACTATAACTTAAAAGGATCTGCATATATCCAAAATGTGTTTTTGTTTTCACTTTTTTTTGTATGGCTACGCAAAGGATCGTATTCATTGCAACAATCCTTAAGCTCTCGATACTTTAAAACGAACAGCTGTGGTGGTACGACTGAGCAATTTCCAGCTATTCACCGGCAAGACACCGAAATTCACCTTAAAAGAAACTAGTACCGAAAAATGTTCTATATGAGATATTAATTACAAGGTTCAAACTATATATTGATAAAAATTTGATCGAATTTTTAGTGAGAAATGTGTTTTAACCAAACACATTTAATTGAACAAAAACACATTTATAGGCCGTGTGCGTGTTCGAGTAAATTGAGGTAAAATAAATTGAAATTTCTTAGGGATTTTTTGCACTGCACTTATGTAAATATTTATTTATTGCACTTATTTATTATTTTTGGTAAAAAGTTTTTAAATTGATTTATGGTATATATTTATTCAACATCTTATAAAATTTTCACAATGGTAACATTTAATTTACCTAATTTTTATCTAATTTACCGTACTCGAATATTTGGTAAATACCAACATTTGCTGCCATACCGACATAATTTACTATTTGGCTCTATTTACCTTACCATCAATTTACTCGAACTCGCACACGGCTCTAATAAGAATTTCCAACAAATTTTTATATTAATAACAACTACGCAATGGGTAACCCTGTATTTTTAAAGAGATTTTGCAATAATTTAAATATTTCTTTTAAGCAAAAGACTCAACTTACTGAAATGAATCACATGAAGCAAACATTACTGAAAAACTTCAACAAACGTTACATTTTAAATTGTTGGTAATAAAATTGTCTTTGGGCATAAAAATAATATTATGGTTCTCCCACCAGTCATCTATTGAAAATGGAAAATTCATGATGCAATATAAATATTTTTACAACAATTATGCATAAATTTTAATTGCATATTTTAATTAAAACTTACATAATAAATTATGTATAATCATTATAAAATTTATGGCTGAATAAACTATTTCAGTAAAAAAATAAAAAAATAAAAACATAAATAATTGCTAACAAATTTATAGTTGGCAACACTTGCACTCAATTTCTGAATCTATAGAAATTATTTTATTTGTTTTCCTATAGTCAAAATTTTTGTTTAGCTACTTCTCGGCAAGCTTAAAATAACAAAATTGAACAGAAATATTTTTGAAATTTTAGTAAATTTTCATTTGTATCTTTGTATCTTTTGCTAGGAAATTTATTTTTGGAAATAATTTGAAAAATTTCACCTGCGCCAGTATAAAGCACAAAAGTTATTGATTCTTTGTTTGAAATATTATTTTAAGATTTGTCATTTAGAATATTTTTGTGTAAATACAAAAGCAAAGTAGCACCAGCGATGACTATGAAAATATATATTGAAAAATTGTACTAATTAGAATGAATTCATCATTGGTACAGACTTGGTAATTTTTTAAAAAAATTGGCTAATAAATAAACAAGATTTGAAATAATCAACTTTTTCTTAAAGAAAAATCTTTATAAAATTATAAAAAAATAGAAGAACAATGAGAATTTGTTGCTAAGCACTTTTTTGTCTGTAATTTTAATGTTTAGGGTATGAAAATGGTTTAGAGGTCAAATCAATTTTAATTAGCGTAATTGGAAAATAATGTACAGCACGCGCTATGTCAACCACTAATTGCGATATTATAATTTACAGTTGATTTAATAGATTTTTGGCAAAAATAAGATGTACTTTCAAAAATATAAATTTATATACATATATTATATATATTATTTTTTTTCTCTATAAGTACCTGCATATACACATACATTTATTAATATAATCGTTGCTGTAACAACGTCATTTATATGAGTTAATGATGCAGAAAAATATACGATGAAAATATGAAAAAATTACACATTTTTATTAAAATTTAGAAAAGAGCACAAATCTTGCGAATACAAATCTTTGCATCTATAGCAAAAGTTTTTAAAACAAGTGCATTAAACAGTTAAAGCAGTTAAAATAACTTTTTAACGACAAGATTTTATGTCGAAAATGTAAATTTAACATGGCCTTTAAGATCAAAAAGTTTCTACAATTAAAACAGCATGTTTACGTAGCAAAAGTATTTTACGGTTGTCATAAAATTTTTGAAGCATTATTTCTCACTTCGGCACACCCAAAGCCATTGCTCGGCTGGCTCGATTACTTATGAATTTTTCCTTATAGAATACTTGGCTTGGCGATGGGCACTCACTCGAGTTACTTCCTGTACACATTTCAGTGCTCAATGCTGCACTTCAAGTTTTATGTGTGTACAAATGCGACCCTAATAAATATTTTACCAACCATTCCACCATAATACTAGTGAAAACGTTTGCATTACTGCCACTTGGCACTAATGCACACCCAAACAGACTAAGAAATCATTACCACTCCTTCTTCGGCTTTGCACTTTACACACTACCCAAAACCCATTCACACTACCAATTTCGCCTACGACTTTTCGATTTTTTATTTATTTTTTATATTATTTCATATTTAAGGATTACGCTTACTTATGAAATTTTATTGTGTTTGGTGAACAAATTTTAACTGCATTTTAATAACTTCCGCAATTTCTTTCATAAATTCCTAAGCTTAGCTAGGGGGAAAATACGAGTAATAAAGGGAGCAGTACTGCAATCTTATGCTTCAATGTTGGTTTGCTTTATTGCACAAATGAATATTACATAGATCCTGGAAAAATTGAAGCGGAGCAAAATGTTAAATTGCTAAAAATAAAATCTAAAAAGTTATTCAAAGCAATTCTTAATAGATTAAAGTAAACTTATTTTAAGTTTCTTACTCGTCTTCTTCTTCCTCTTCTATAACTTTTATGAATCAATATTAATATTAGCTAAGTGAAAAATAAATAAATGGAAGGATTGTAAAAGAAATTAATATTGTATAACTAAAATTTATTTCAAAACGAACCAAATCAATTTTCTTCAATTTAAACTTTTAAATAATGGACTATAAGTAATTTGACCAAAAAATTGGCTAAAATTATATTGATACACATGTTTAGAAAATATATAAAATATGATTAGGTGCTTATTTTAAAACGAATTGAAAAAAATGTACTCTCCTCTTGCAAAACTAAAATATTTTGCATACTTTTACCAAATGAGATACAATCAAAGCTATCTAGGTAAATATCTATCTTTATAGGGCACTGGATCATAAGACGGCATGAAGCTAGACTCAGCCTACCCTGTAATATCGCTTGCAACGCGTGTTCAAAACACCTGTTGTATTTATGTCCATGCTTGTCTAGAACCAGTCTTCAATTTTTTGGGGCCATATCTGATCGGTGAATCGATTTCACAGTTCAGGTTACACAAAAATTTGAATTTTCATAGATTTTTAATTCTATAGATTATCCAATGTCTTCATAAATATTTTACCAACATTTTGAAAACCTAATAATTTCAACTCAATAAATTAAAAAAATTAATATGTTAAATGTTTCTTTGTTTTTCGAATATTTTAGATTACATACTTCATATGTAAGCAAACCAACACCTAACATATTTTAGAGATATATTGCTGATCTATTTTTTAATATTTTAAAGATACAGCGAAAAAAATGTACAGAATATTAAATGTTTTTTTTTTATTTTTTTTTGGAAAGTGTGTTTTTAAAATAAACAGTCTTTATATTTTCTATTTAACAAAAAGTAATAATAATCAATCATATATATAAAAAGAGGTGTGTAGTCAAATTTAACATGTGTTGAAAAAGCATGAGTCTTAATTTAAAAAAAAAAAAAAATTTATAACAAAAAAAGTGTGTTAATATTAATTTTAAACTCTGCCGATTGTTATTTAGGTCTATTTATTAATTTAATAAAAAACGCTTAAGTTTTGGTTTTCAAAAACACAACTGGAATATCTATTCTGTTAAAATTCTGCAATGTCGTTTTCATTTCATCTATTGTTGAAAAGGTTGTCTTTGGTGGTCCTTTTGAGTTTGGGAAATTGAAAAAGTCTTAGAATGTCATAGAATGGTTGCTCCGTTTCAGTAATGTTTAGTTTTGCCACGAATTTTTGGACCACCAACAAATTTTCGGTAAAGGCTTTACAGTCACTTATTTTAAATTAAAATCATTTTTGGAAATCGCTTCATGTGAACTATACGTCATTTCTATTTCTCTAATGACCTCTGTAAAGGTAAATAAAAAACACAATCTGTTTAAATCATAAGCACAATCAAATTTTTCTACGTTTCACTGATTGATGGACATGCTAGGATGTCTAGACCACGCGTCATCTGTAATGTCTACTTGACATAGGTAAAAACGTGAGAACTATTCATAAACGCATGACTCTGACATCTTCTTGTAATATTAACATTGATTTATTTATAACTTTTTAAATCTGTTTAAATTTTTTAGAAACTTTCTGAATCAAAACTTAGTCACCAAAAAATTGTCATGCACTTTAATATACTATTACATATATATAATGCAATGTCTTACTCATTGACTTGGTTGATACAAACTAAGTATCGCAGACGCCTGGTAGTTATTCTGCTTTTTTTATTAAAATGCAGCGTGACAAATTCAATGATAAAATAATATTAAATAGTCATAATATTTAATTTAATGGCTTAGAATTAAATCGAATGTTAGTATTTTTAATGCATTTTCTTCACACTATTTTCAAACTAAAACATTATCCAAATAAGAGTATGTTTTAAAGTCAAATCGTTTAATCCTTCCTTACAGAAAATAGCTTCAGATCAATTTTTTTTCTGAATATAAGTTACTGAAATTGCAACCAATACATCAGACAGACTCGAGTTGACTTAATCCAGATACATTGTGGGCAATTTTAAAATTTTTATTTATCCTAAATCATACCTTATATTATATTTAAAATATAAAGTACTTTTGAGGAACCATTTATATGGCCACGATGGGTGTTATCGAACAAATTTTATCTAAGTGTTGATTTCAAAAACTTGAATTTAGAAGGTCACTATGCAAACTTTTATTGATTACCTCAAAAACTGAGATACTAGTTTATGTATTAACAGATAGGCAGATAGACAACTGGATATGTGGATGTCACTATATCGATATATTTATAATAAGCACAAAACAAGCAGACATATATATCTAAGTATCATTATATCAACATAAGTATAATTACACTAAATAAAATAGATGTATATCGAAATATAATATCGATATATGTATAATAAGATAAAAACAAGTAAACATATATCTGAATATTATTTTATCAATATATATATAATAAGACAGACCAAAAAACTTCATTACGATACTAAAACAGAGATTTATTTTTAACGATAGTATGCATTACTCACAATGCACGTGTTATTAGTGAATAGTATTAAAAGTTCAACAGCTACCTCAGGTATGTACTCCAGTCCAGTAAAACTAGCAGCCTCCAAAAATTTTTGTCGAGTTCTCGAAAGAGCCGGACAGTTACACAGCAGATGCTCCAGAGTTTCCATTGCATTCGGTTCATTGCAATTTCTACAAGCATTGCTGCAGTTCCTGTAGCGATGCTTGTATGCAGTATTTTCTTTTATGCAGTTCCTTCGAATAAACTATATAACATTTTTGATCCTAGATATTTAACAGTTCGTTAAATTTTGTTCTTGTTCTTATCATGTATTCGGTCAATAGTTAATGTGTTTGTTTCAGAGGTAAAACTACTTCGCTACTACTTCTGAGATGTAAGATTAAAGCATGTAAATATATAACTAAATATAATTATATCGCTATATATTTAATAAATGTATATTTTTTTCTCTTGAAAGTTATAAACTTTGCTGTTTTTTACAATTCCTGTTTACGTTAAATTTATTAATCAAATAATACTTCAATCAATTTCATATATACAAGAAATTTTTGACTTCAATCTTAAATTGCAATTGCATCATCACATCATTATTTTCTTTATAATTAGATAAACAAATAAATGTGAATATGAAGCATGAAAACAGCAGTAAAAATAAAAATGATTGTAATTTCTGGATGCCAAAGATTTGGAAAGCAATAATCGCACCTGCATGAAATCTTCTGAATTGAGTAGGTGGAGAAAGATAAGAAAAAAGACTAATTTAATAATTATAATAAAAAAATTAAAGATAATATTATATCAGATACACAGCATCTAGTGTACTCATATAACACCCAAGAGCTTTAGCAACAACAACAAAAATGAAAGAGCGTGCTTTCTTAGAGGAAAACTATGTTGTGGAATTAACAAGAAAATTATACATCAAATAAAAATATTTAAGTAATTAAGTTAATATTTTTTAATTATTCTTTTGTAGAGATTCTTATGTTATAATTCTCCGTTTTTTTGTAAAGAGAACTAGCAAAATAAGCAAAAATAAAAAAATTAGCAAAAATTAAAAAATAAATTAGCACCACAACAATGCTCACCCCAGCAATATAGAAAACTCTCACCGCATGATAAATTTAAAGAATAAAAAAAAAATAAATTTTTTTTAATAAAAAAAAAAACAGAAGAAAATGCGATTTTCTTTTTTCATTTACCAACACAAAGCTCTGCAATCACCAACACCTGCTAAATAACTATGCTGCCCACAACAATTCCAACACAGAAAAGTTGCCAGCTAAGTTTTTTCAGCTGTGTTTCATTGAGTGTTTGTGTTTAGGTATCTGTATATGAAAAAATAAATATCTTATAGATACTTAAAGCACAACATTTCTCATCTTTCTACATGAAAAAATACATTTTTCAGGCAAACAAAATTCGCCTCTTCAATCGAAACGACAATTTCAACGATATTCGACAAACGAAACGCGTAAAGTGCATCTTTGAAAAGAAAAAAAAATTATTTAATTCAAAGCACGAAAACGAATTTTCACAATTTTATAAAAATTTAGTAAAATTATTTAGCGATTGTGAATTTATAAGCATAAATATATTTTGTTAATGAAAAGAATACATATTCAAAGTGGTAAATTTTTTATTAAAAAATTTCTCGCATAAGAAAGCTTTAACCATTTTTTGAATATTACTTAAATTAATTTTGAATTTTGTGTTTATACGAAATATCTTTAAAAAAAAGAAAATTTTTCTTTAAATCTAAAATCATCATAAGAAAATCTAACGTTCCAATATGGGTTCACAGTGGAAAGTTATTAACGAAATTTATAAAAATTTGGATGGTAATTTCTTAAGTGTAAATACGTTTGATTATTGCATGTTAAAATGTGACTAAAACCAAGTTTTGAAAATCTTTTGTTCATGTTTTATTAACAAAACTAATTCTGTTAATATATATAATATTTAAAGTTAAAAATAATCTAAAAATATTAGCAAAAGCCATAAATCTTCGATGACAAAGTATTTTTTAATAAAAATTTTTCTTTTTAAATGTGTTATAAGAGTACAATTTTTGTGTTTATAACCAATTCTTGGCACATAGACTTGAATGTCTCTAATTACCTTGACAAACACATAAGAACTGAATACATATAATTTTTAAAAATAGTAATATAAAATATGAATCAAAACATAACGAATTTGTTTTTTTCAACTATTTAGATTTTTATAACTTTTTTTATGATTATAAAATTTATACCTTGAATATGCTATATTATTTAATTCAAGTGCCAAGTTTCAATTTAATGCAAAAACAATAAAAGCATTTATTGTAGTTCATTTTTTTAAGATGTTTACATTCTATTACATTTTCAAACATTTTAATACTAAGAATTGTCAGCAATAATTGCTATAGCTGTTTGCCGACTGGTAGCTATCTTTTGTTTCAGATATTCATATTCTACTGCATTCTCATATTTCAACTAAGGACTTTCAGCAACATCTAGTATAGTCATTTATTTTTCTTTTACGGAAGTTTTAAATTGGAGTAGACTTTTTATATATATATATATCCAAACTTATTCCATAAAAAATGTGTAAGCTAGAGCTTTCAATTTACAAGTGTTATAATAAACAAAAAGTGTGTTTTTAAAATAGCACAGTTTTTTTATACTAACTAGATTTAATAAAAACCAATTGTATCTGGTGCGAACCACTTAGATCTGCAAAATTTTCTCATTAAAATATTTCGATGCGGAATTTAAATACTGTCCTAGATTTTAATGGTTACAACTCTCATATTATTAGAAGGCAGCAAAAAATACACCTATTACAATAAATGAAGCTAACTTGAGGATGTAATTGCATTTAAGTTTATTACAATAAATAAAATTTATTATAATACAAGTTTCTTCTTGAACATACTATAAGACTTATGAGTGGACTTGTTATATTTAACATACAAGTATCACTATATCAATACTAACAAATCTAAGTTTAATTATTCATCACAACAACAATTGCAATTATTACAATACATGTGGTGAAGTATAATAAAGCAGCATATATTACGATATATAAAATGTATTAAAAAAATGTTTAGCATATTATGACTAAAACTTATAGCTAAGTAATAAAATTGAGTTTTCTTAAATAAAAAGTTTATGGAAATGCTTAAATACAGTAATACGATACATGTCTTACTTTTGACATATGTTCTTCTAATTCAAATAGAATGCTGATTACATTGAGATTTTTAATATTAGATATAAACACTGAATATATCCATAATATATTCTATATCAAACTTTACATACTTTTAGAAAGCTACTAACAAGTGCTTTGATCTTTTTGATGTAAACACTTTGTATACAGAATTGCTTAAATATACAAATAAATCAAATCGTTATATTAATTTAGAGAGCTCTCTAGTGCATGATGTCTAATAAGAAATTTATCTAATTCTACATAATTATTTTTATCATTCAATATGGTTTAAGAACCTATTAAGTTTCTCAGTTTGCTACCTAACATGATTGAAGAGAAACTTAGTTGAGGTAGTTAAAATATGGTATGTACGGAGAAATAAAAAATAGTTTCCTTTTTCTCTGTCTGATTACAGTTGTGATTATAGATATTGTAAGGACAAGATATTTTAACACGAAATATACTTTATAAGGGCCATGTTATGTAGAGTGTCATGGGTTGATCATAAGCAAAATTGTTGTTTTCAATACAAATTATAATATTGAAAGTGAGAGAGAAAAAACATTAAGTCGGTTCAAATTAGGTCATGAGAGACGAGCCCAAATGTGCCTCGTCATCTAAAAAAAAAACAGTGTAAGTAATAAAAGTACTTATACTCAACATTTGTGTCTTTTAGAAGCAAATTATTACAAATTCTGTGACAGTCTGCATAACATGCATTTTCATCATAGCCCAAAAAACCAATTTTGACGCTCCAATGACATTCTACATAATATGGCCTTAAGAGATTAATGACTTATATATTGCATTACTTTGTTCATAACTTTTGCTCAAAAATAAAAAAATTTTCTTACTATGATGTTATTATATTATATTGGTTGTCTAAAAACAAATCATTATACACATAAATGACCTTTAAAAAAGTCTATAAAACAGTTTTTTTATTTTTTAAAAGAAATAAATAATTTAATCAAATTTTTCTAACAATTTTTATAACTATTAAACAATAATCCTTATTAAAAATATGATAAAATTTTTTTTTCGTAATATTTGTGTACAAATAAATATAATAACATTAACAAGTATTTATCTAGTGCATTAATATAACTGTTGTAAATACAATTTTTTAAAAATACCAAAAAACTCCGAGTTTGATTAGCATAGTAAGCAAGCATGACGAATCGTGATTGAGTATATGAACCAGGATTTTAAATTTGAATGGCGTTCAAATTCAAGACTTAGCTCTAGAAATGTAAAAATTACAAACGTATAAATAAAACCCATATGTATTTTGAATGAGGATTTATAATAATGTTTAGATATTGAAAACAACTTTTAGTCAATCAAATAAAAAATTTACTAAAATAAAAATTAATCATTGTGTTTAAATTTCTCTTTATTATGCCCTTTCTTACTAAAATATTTATTTTCCCAAATGACATAAAATATGCTCATTTAAAATTAATTTTTAAAATACTTAACAATTCTAATATATATACAATTTTTTTTTTCTATACTAATTTGAACTATTCACCATTTTAACATTCTTTACTGTCAAAAAAAAAACATTGTCTATACTAAAAATAATTTAAAATAATTCAGACAAATATTTTTTATTTAATTAATTAATAAATTAAAATACAATAAACAAAATATTGAATTATTTTTTTTAATTTTATTTCAAACAACTAAATATTTTATTTCTTCTAATTGCTGTATTGTAAAAGATTACTCTGTACTGCCGACCAACTAGCAAATAGAAAGTTTTGTATAGGGTCCACGTCACGTATGAGTAACATTGTCAAAATAAAACTCAAGTATACGTCACTGTCACACACTTGTGCAAAAATTTAGTTCATATATTTGAAAATAATTATAATAATAAACTGATAATAGTATATACAAAAATGAAAAATACAAATTCCTTAACGATTAGAGCAAATATAAAAATATCAGAAACATAAATCTGCGAAATAATGAAAGACGTATGAGTAACTTTGAAAGCAATCTAAAATTCAATGCGATATTTATTTTATTTCGTTAAAACGTGAAGAAATAAATTAAAATAAATGTTTGAATTATTGAAATATTATTAAATTAATAAAATATTTAATTATATTTAAATAATATTTTATAAAATTATAATACAATTTAATTTTAATATAATAAAATTTTATTAAATGAAATAAAATTATATTAATTTAAATTAAATTTTATCAAATCAAAATACAATTTCATTAAATTTAAAAATCATTAATCAAACAAAAATGTTATTATTAAATATTATGTGTAGAATTCAAAATATTAAATTTGATTATATAAAAATACAGTTACATAATTACACAATAGAAAAATAGACCAAACTCAATTTTAATTAATTTCAATAATATTTGAAGCATAGTTTTATTAATTAAAAATATAATTTTATTAAATTAATACGCAATTATATTCAATTCAAAAAAAAATTATAAAAATCAAGAAATTAAAAATAATTTTTGTTATTGTATTTCCCTACTTTTCGAAACCTCTCTTAAAATCAAAACAAAATTTTATTTAATTTATTTAATATTTTATTAAATTGAAATCTTAATAAATTAGAATAAAATATTATTAAACTAGAACAAACTAAATTAATTTAAAATATTAATGAAATTAATTTAAAATTTAAATTAAAACAAAATTTTATTCAGATGTTAAAAATTTTTTTAAATTATATAAATATTGTATTTTTCCTCTTCCTTGTTAATGAAGGTAAATTTTTAATGAAAACAGAAATAAAGTCAATGACTCCCTTCAAAAGCGATGGTCCAAAAACTTTTTACTTTGTTAAAAAAAAGTAAAAATCAGAAAAAAATTATGGAACTGTTACAATTACACAAATGCTATATCTCACAAAAAAATAAAAGTAGATCGTATAATAATTATAAAAGCAGAATTCTTTAGCACTTGCAGACATAAAAGAGCAAAACTCAGTACCTTTTATGTAGCCCTTTTCTGTTTTATGGTCAAATTGTGCGCACTTCTTCTTTTATTGAAAAACATGAAATGTTCTTTTCGGCACAACATTGAAAGAAAAAATTTCTCGGAATAAAATAAAAAGTTGGTATCTTTCGTATATAAGGACAATAAAAAGTAAAAAAGAATCTTTCAGATTTAAAGCAATCAGAAAAGGTTACGCTCTCATAAGGAAAGTAGCAAATAAACTCTGCAATCATAATTACAAATGCAAAAAGTATTTATGTTAAAAAATTAAAAAAGATATATCAAGAAAAAAGATATAAATGCTTTAAGCCAATTGGCAATTAAAAGTTTATTTATCCTATAACCAAGTTGAAAAAATTAAAAAACAAGTCAATTTATTTAAAGCGGTTGATATTGTTGAAGTAATTTATTAAATAAATGTAATTTTAATTGATTTAAATTAACGTAATAAAATAAAAACTGTGTTAGATAGGTGAAGTGATGAAAAGATACTTACGTTTTCTAGGAAGATTTACTAAACTAGTAACTCTTCCTAGAAGCTTAACTAGAAGGATTTTGTAGTGGATAATTCGAAACTAATTCTTAATACATATAAAACAATTGTGCTATAAATGGATTACATGGTTCATATACTCATTATAATTAATTAGTTATA